GATGAATTTGTCTGTTTTCCTAGCAGTCCATGGTACTTTTAATACTCTTCTCCAGCACCACAGCTCAAAGGCAGAGTTGGACAATGACCAGGGAGGATAGAAAGAGAGGTATATGTAGTGGTTGAAAATATCATGACTGGGATCAGGCACACTCTAGTATGTAAATTCATATCATTGTTCTTTATCATTGTGACAAGGTCTTTGACAGAAGATCTTCCCAATGCAACACGTCTTTTCATTTTTTTAACATGTGTTAACTAATAAACCCACTGCCATAAAGTGACTCCATCACCTCATTTCAAAGGATTTAAATCTTATGGAATGAAAAAGAGCACCTATTTTGCTCTTGAGGATTGATTGGTGTATTCCAAATCATGACATATCTGCTTGGCAACCCAACAAGCTATCTAAGCACCATATACTCATCACTATTTCTATCGTTCTTGTGTGCCATCAAGTTGAAGCCAATTCATAGCTGATCCTCCAGCAGGTTTGCAGAGATAATTAATCACAGGGGATTGATTCTCCTCCTGCAGAGAAGTCAGTGGATTCAAATATGGGCCTTTGGGATTGCAGTGAAGCTTTTTACTTACTGTTATCATTATTGTTGATTACTGTCAAGTCTAGCACGACTCAGTGACCCTGTGAACACAAGATCTGAAGCCTTTCTATAACTATTGTTGTTTCTCAAAGTTCGTTGTGTTTCTAGAGGTATGTTGGTTAGGGAGTGGGTGCCACTTCTGCTTCCAAACCTATCTTAAATTAGGAGCACAAACAAACACTATCCACCATGGGTAACCATGATGACATTTGACACCCCAATAGCACAAAGTTTAGCATCACAGCAACTCCAGGTTACCTCAATACAGCATATTGACAGAAGAGTGCTGTACTACTTCGAAGAAATTTCCTCCAAAATATAATAACAACTGACTTTTAAACACAAAGACCAAGCATCAGAGTGTTACTTACTAGTCATCTGCATAACAAAGGTATTCAGTTTTTTTTAATAACAAATAGTATTCCGTTTCTTTAATAATTTTCTCAGCATACAGATTGAATAGATATCAATAGAGTATACAACCATAAAGGACAGCTTTCTTAATTTTAAACCATGTAGGGTTAGGTCAAGGATTGCAGCTTTCAATATGGATTCAAGCTCAACATTAAGAAAACAAAGATTCTCACCACTGGGCGATTGGCAGCATCATGATAGATAGTGAAAAGATTGAGATTGTTATCAGCTTCCATTTGCTTGGCTCCACAATTAGCACTCTTGGTACCAGTAGCCAGGAAATTAAATGACATGCCATGGTCTTTGCAGTCACTTGCTATGCATCAGAAAGCTGGACTATGATTATGAATGATAGAATAAAATTGATACCTTTGAGCTGTGGTGCTGGAGCAGCGTGTTGAATATACCATGTACTGATAGGAGAACAAACAAGTTCGTCCTAGAGAGGGTGAGGTCAGGTTGTTCTTTGGAAGCAAAGATTCTGAAGCTTTGTCTGACATACTTTGGACATATTGCAAGGAGGGACCAGTTCTTACAGAGGGACATCATGCTTGGGAGAGTGGAGGGACGGTGCAAGAGAAGAAGACCCTTGATGAGATGGGTGGATTCAGTGACTGGAGTAATGAGGGTACGTGTATCAGA